CAACCCCGCTCTGCCACTCGCCTCCAGCTCAACCCCGCTCTGCCACTCGCCTCCAGCTCAACCTCACTCTGCCACTCGCCTCCAGCTCAACCCCGCTCTGCCACTCGCCTCCAGCTCCCACACTAACGACGAAGGGACAGTAGCCACAATACTTTCCACCAGGGGGCGTTAGTGACCTACCATATGCAAATCAACATGAGGGTTTTGTGGGGTGGGGGTTTAACTATTCCGAACCATTGATCCGTCTCGGCCGAGGTTTAACAGGTCACAGGTGTCGTCGGTGTAGGCAGGTTCGGGTTTTACAGGCCACATATATCGTCGGTGTTGGCTCCTGGTTCGCTCTGGCCTGCAGCTCGTATTATATTATTAAAGATAAAACATCAATTAAAACAAACTATAATACAAGATACACTATGAGGACTAACTTTGGCAATTTCCTCCAACGAAATTAAGAGGAAATACCAGCAGGTCATACACCAGTCGTCCACATTAGGTTAGGTTGGGTGCTTTGGGACCATATTGGGTCTTGGTGATGAGGCTTCAGAAACGGACTTGATCCCTATAAGCCAAACTAAACGCCGTTAATTATTTCACCCACTTCAACATGACCTTTTACCAAGTGTGGGAAAGTTAGTGGTACCAAGATTTACCTCAGCGAGTTGCATTAAATTCGGGGAAACATCGACTTACCCAATATAACTTGAGCTCTCCCAAGGTATCAATATAAAATCATGAGAGCTGTTTAGTGCTGCCAGTAATACTCTCTCTATCTCTCTCTCTCACACTAAGTAAAAGTATAATAATTTCGACTTAAATGTCAAGATAGATTACAAGGGAGTGAGTGTGGCAACGGCGTCTCCCAGTTACCACACTCACTCAGTACCTTGCCACATATTTAGTTTGAGCGAGTTGTCACCTCCGTCAGTAGGTACGTGGGAAACACACCCCAGGGGAACAGATTCTCAGACAGATACGCTAATTTTCTGCCTCCATGTGAAAACGTATATACACACTAGGCGCATCCCAAACTACGACCAGAATGATGGCGACTCAAATCACGTCGAAATTCCCAAAACACTGTAACAACGAGACTAGGCTACCGTAGTTTGATGCCTTTACTGGACGACGGCTCCGTTGTGGTTCATTGATCCGAAGCTGTAACCTAACCTTAAGATCAAATGAATCATCGATACACAAGGTTATTTTCCATTCTCTCATCCCCAGATAAAAATTATGAACGAATCTCTGAATTTGGAACCATATACAGTACTCGAGGACTGGGCTGCCATCACTAGTAATATAACACAAGAACTTCGTCAAAATACCACCTTTAAAGTTGACCCTGAGTAAGTCATCAACATTTACTGACACGACGCGTTAACCCAGAGTGTTCTCAGGAAAAGAGATTTGGGCTTCCTTAGCAATCAGGATTCAATAACATAGTCGGAGGGAAGATAACATATAGCTGTGAGAGAAAGTGGACTATTTTATCGATTATGCTCTACTGTTAAACGTTCTCCTGGATTGGTGAGAACAGCTGTTTATTGCGTATTATTCTCCCCCTAAAATATAAATCAATAAACAAGCTCGGTGATCTAGATAAACCATAATAAACAACAAAATAAAAGCGATACTCGGATAACCTGCATCACCACCACAACAAAGACTGCATTAATTCTCGATACTGAAAACAATTGGAGTGTCGACTGAGTACCGTGTGACTAGTGTTTGTAACTAAGTACAATATATACAGGGCATGAGTAACGAAACCTGGTAACTCAAGGAAGAAAATAAATGTGAAATCCCTTAACCAAACAATAATTCACGTTGTGTTCTTATTTATATATAAACACAAAGGTTGAGTAGTAGCCTTTACAGAGATCGGATATATTTAACTGACTGACTCCCAAAGTTTAGTTCCACCACGACGACATTTACAGGCAGGACGGAAGTGGTGACCGGAGGATACGAGGAAACAAATATAACCTCATAATATACATTTTAATAACAATTTCCGGTCTATTATTTAGGTACACATATATAGGACTTGGAAGGGTGCAATGAACTATAGCCTTTAACATACTAACACTGGGGGACACTGGATGTAAATCTATTTTAAAACATCAATCAAGCAACCTGGTGATCTTTACCGTCAATAACTCACTCCCTTCTAGTGGCTCATCGCAAACTGGTTACTTCTCCCTGAGCCACGCCTCCCCACTACCGTCCAACACTCGTGACGCAGCTCTGTCTTGGAGGGCCCAGCCTTCACACTCGCCACATGCCCAACTTATCCACTCATCACCAATCACGCCTGCTCCAGCCTCCGACCTGGTCCCTCACGTAATCTCTTCTAATGGGCCAGAGGACACCACCTCCTCCACCCTGCCCCCCACCCCCCCGACGCCTCTACATCCCCCAAAACACAAAAACTACCTATTTTAATATTGTTAAAGTCAATGTGCGCAGCCCCACCGTGGTCATCCTCTCAAGCCACATCCCTTCCCGACCAAATATCCTTCCTCGCGATGACAGTCTTGACACTTAACATTATAAAGGACCTACAGTGCCACGCTCTACCATAAACACGCTAACTGTAGAGGGCATCTTCCCTATACACACTAATTTATTTCTTCACCAATTGTACCATCCTAACAAAACCAATGGTCCCTTCATCTAAGTCTAAGAAGGGAACCATCGACTCCGCGTGCTTCTCTGCTGGGCGCTGTCATCATGGTTCATGATTGCAATGCTTCTGCGTTTCACATTACACAGGATGTAAGGGAGGGTGTTCAGTAAACCCCGTGCTGCGTGGGCCGAATTTGAGCCTATGTACTGTACACTACTGATAATTTAGTGACGTCCCGTTTCTTATAAGTCTGCATTCTTTTGTGATATGCTTAGTCAGTTTACATGGTACGTCCTAAAAGGTTACGGTAGTGTTGTTTGAGTGGGGGGACAACCTACGCCAGGCAAGGCAAGTCTGGTCAGTTAACTAGTAAACAAACCACTTCTTGCTGCTGCCGTTACTCACGTCGCAGTTGTCATACAGTGGACATCCTGCCTGGGTTTGTCCATAATGAGCTAACTCAAGGTTCCCCTCTAACAACTTGGGGGAACGGGAGGGGGGGCGGGCATCATTAGTGTGTAATGATAGTGACGAGTTATTTATTACCATACTCAAACAGGACGTAAACAAGAAACCATTCAATAAAAAGGGACAAATAAACACGAGAACCAATACTTTCCCTTTCCAACCAGTTAAGTGATTACCATAAAGTGGGCATTTATTAACCGACCAGGTACAGGATTTTCTAACAGGAGTTCTGAGATAAAAAAAAGTTAACGTTACCTCCCTAATAACTGCAATTTCATTTCATATAATCGTTAGGGGAATAATTATGTAAAAATAATTATATCGGGTCATTAAACAACGGTATCAATTAACCTGACGCTTATCAGTATATAGTTACACGTTGATACTGTACATTACAACAACGAACTACCTATGAAAGACTAAGGATACAAATTCATGATCAAGTGAAGCACAAAGTAAAACATTAACTCGCGCACGTTAATCAGCTGTCAAAGACCCTGCCAAGTGTTGGGTAGTTAGTTACACACAGCGAGGCCTACCGGTACCCCCAGGTTGTGTAGTCTCTGAGATAACACTAAAACACGTTTCTTTCATCTTGTTTACATTACCATTCATACACATGTACACACCTTACCATTAGCAGCAAACACCTTTACCTACACCACATATGTATACAGTATATCAGATATATGTAAAGGGCATATATCATATACAAATACACCCACACACATATATAAATACTACGTACTAGCTATAATTTGTCAATCTAATTAAATAAAACACTAGGTAGCGAAAGAAAACTTATAAACATCATTCCCATCACCAGCCAACACGACATAATTACAACAGCAGGGGAGAGCTGATGGCCACAACGGAATGAAACAACCACAATCATGTCAAGGGCAACACCACCACCACACACACACAGCGCGCCCCATGAAAACCATTTTGTCGAGATCAACAACCACAAGTTACTATAGTATAAAAAATATATATTATTAATATTAACACAATGTAAAAATTTTAATATGTTTATACTCTCGCTGTACACACTGTATAGGTATTACTGTACATACATGAATATAGATACATAACAACAGTATAAAAAATAATTCCTTGAGGGGTCAGACGCCGAAGGAGGTAGACACAAGCTAAAATGGCCAATGTTGACAATACTATAAACGGTACCGGGTACAACCATTTATATTCCACATAACACGGGCTATAGTAAATTAAACTACCTAATAATTGTGCTTAAGAGAACGTAGGGTCATGTTTTAATGGACTGTGGTTCCAGAATGTTGGTCGTGTCCAGCTTAGTTTGGGCAGTTGTTAATGTCTGCTTTAAAGAATGTGAACGTTTGTGGTGTTTGTGGTGCGTGGGTTAGATTGGGTAAGGTCTTGGTTGTCTGTCTTTAAGAATATGAATGGTTTTCAAGGTGGTGTTCGTGGTATTGTCCATTGCGTGGAGTGAGGGAGGCAGCCAGGTCGCCACCGGTCCTCCTCAAAGGCGAAAAATACCTAAACGAATTTAACTACGTGGATAGCTTTTTATTAAAACCTCACTACTCATGAATTCACAAGTAATTTAGAAGTTTTATGTTGAAGTTGTATCTTTACACACAAGATATATCGAGATGAAAGAAAAGATCAACACTAAAATAAACTACAGTTCATTATCAGTTAATTATTATTTACCTTATAGTATTTCCCCAATAAAGACTAAAAGTTAAAAATCAATCTACGAAATTCCATACAGGTTAGAAAAAAAATAGACAATAATATATGAATTAGGGGTTAATTAAAGGTTTTATAGTGGTGTTTAGGTATTTTTCGGCCTTCAGAGCATCAGGTCCCACCACCACCAACAAACACGGGGCGCCACACACACACACACACTCACCTGCAACGACTGTATCACTTAGATTGTATTTCGCAGCACCTTTAGGGTATTCCTTTAACTTTCGACCACTAAGTTTTAATTCACATGTTGCCTGAGCGTCGGAAAGTATTCTATCTAAACTTCTAGATAAATTACAGGGAGAGTTAGCACTATGGGGACCTCCAGCCCCTGCCATTTTCACTCACTGACTCATACTGACGACTCACACTCCTGCGCCGATGCCACACATCTCCACAAAAATACTAATAACATTTATATCTAAAGCCCTTCATTAATTTCATTTGAATTATCTGAAAAATGATTGATAAAATTATAATTAATGAAAAGAATATACATAAAATATACTACGTGTTGTAATAAAAAAGTATTGGAAGAAAATATTTGAATCAGGAATCAGGGTTACCAGATCAAAGTGGCGGGACACCTTACGACAATGTTTCTTGATGTATGTATATGTGTATCAATAACAAAACAACTCACTATTGTATGCATATGAACTGTTCAATAATATGGAATGTGTTATGTATTCTTTATATACATACCAGTTATGTGTCCGGACAAGGTCAATTATTACTATCAACAAATGAAATAGAAACAGATGCAGCCGGGAACTACTGAATGATAATGTTATGTTGTTTTGTTGTGTAAATAATTATCCTACAGTAGGTCTATTTCCACAATTGTTGTAAAAATATATTAGTAGTAGTAGTAGTAGTATTTCACCTTTAGCTTCTATGTGAGACAGCGATAATTGGAAGATATAAATTAAATAATAGGAAAGGGAGAACAAGGGGTAAAGAAGGGAGTGCCAAGAATAAGTGGAAATATAAATAGAATGATAAAAATATAACAAGTTAATAGTTTGTTGGTTTTCAGTGCCAGTCTTGATCCTTAAAGATTTATGTGGTAAACAGATCTTCCTCACCAGTTACCTGACAACAATTGACTCACAATGACACAAATAATAGAAGCCATAATGGAAATAAGCTTTTTAATGAATTTCTTGGGCTATTCTTGTGTGAATCGACTTACTGTTTGCTCTTGTTTGTGTACCTGTAGTGTCTATACGTGGTGAACTGTTTGTCTGTCAATCTATCTAGCTGCTTGCTAACCTATCTATCTATATATCTATCTATCAGAGAAAGAGACAGACAGAATTTACGTCTATTAAATACCAAATAAACATTATTAGTTAAGTAAATTTAGGATACTGTAAACAAGAACGGAGCTTAATACAAGTAACCAATTAATTTATAAGCTAATTTATTTATAAGTAAAACAATTAATTAATAAGTAAACCAAATATTTTATAAGTAAAACAATTAATCAATAAGTAAACCAAATAATTTATAAGTAAAACAAATAAAAAGTATACCAAATAATTTATAAGTAACAATTAATTAATAAGTAAACCAAATAATTTATAAGTAAAACAATTAAAAAGTATACCAAATATTTTTAAGTAAAACAATTAATTTGTAAATAAGCCAATTAACAGATAAATAATTCAAATGATAAATAAGTTATAAATAATAAATAAAGGCAAACAAATAATATGATAAACACATGATTTAATAAACAATGAACTAATACATAATGAATTAAATAATGAAAAATTGATTTAATAAAGAAACAAGCAAATTACTGAATATGAAAATTTATTATTATATACGAATTTTCATTAATAAGCGAATGAATTAAGGAGTAAACAAACGAATTAATAAACAAATTAAATAATATATAAACAAATTATCATACACAAATCATCTAGCTAAATAATATAACAATTCAAACAAGTTGATTAATAAGCAAAGACGCTAAAATAATTACAATAATTAATAATTAAACGAATTCAATAATAAATAACATATATATTTATACATTCAGAAATAAGTCAATAAATAAACAAATTCATTGATAAATAAACTAATAATAACACAAATTATTAATGAACGAACAAATGAATTAACCTACAAACACACGAATTAATATATAAACAAACCAATTCGTAAACAAGCGCATTAACCAGTGGTTTAATCAGTGTTGCCAACCCACCAGCAGGTTTTGTTTCTCGAGGTAATATGGTCAACAGTGGTTTAATCAGTGTTGCCAACCCACCAGCAGGTTTTGTTTCTCGAGGTAATATGGTCAACAGTGGTTTAATCAGTGTTGCTCAACCCACCAGCAGGTTTTGTTTCTCGAGGTAATATGGTCAACAGTGGTTTAATCAGTGTTGCCAACCCACCAGCAGGTTTTGTTTCTCGAGGTAATATGGTCAACAGTGGTTTAATCAGTGTTGCCAACCCACCAGCAGGTTTTGTTTCTCGAGGTAATATGGTCAACAGTGGTTTAATCAGTGTTGCCAACCCACCAGCAGGTTTTGTTTCTCGAGGTAATATGGTCAACAGTGGTTTAATCAGTATTGCCAACCCACCAGCAGGTTTTGTTTCTCGAGGTAATATGGTCAACAGTGGTTTAATCAGTGTTGCCAACCCACCAGCAGGTTTTGTTTCTCGAGGTAATATGGTCATAGTGAAGTCTACCTGATGATCTAAAATGGTCATTACCTCCACTATTTATGCACCTGCCCGCGTCTGTATCTCTGAATTATTATATGTTAATGATTAATGTACTTAATAACCTAGAATTAGCACTTAAAAATATGTATTAGCTGCAGAAACGTAGTAATACATTGATATCAACACGTATTAGTTACATAATTTCATAAGAGGAACATTTTACGTAATATAATTAACAAAGTGTGTAATTTGTTAACGTAGCCGAAACGTTCATGTCCAAAGAAATTCATAATTAACTTACAGAAGGAGACGGATACATATTAACAACTGATCATGGATTTTTATATGTTCTGATGTCATCCAGTTTTTTGTTGTGTAAGTTTAGTAAGTTAGAAGAATATAACTCGTATACAGAGAGAGAGGAATAATACGAGTAAGTGCCGAAATTAATTAATTCAAATAGAATTATAAATCAGCCGACCCGTAGCGCGCAATATTGTTTCTTGTTTCATTTACCGACAAAAAGTAATTTTTATCACAATCTAATTAATTAGATGTGCATTCCATATGGTAAAATTATCAGGTGATGAATGTATTGCATATATATTTGCGTTAATAAAGAGTTTTGTCTCATTTTCTTGAATTATGCATGAAATGAAATATGGACATTGCCACTGAGCGCTGCTCCACAACTTTTGTTGGATTCCCCGGAGCTTGAAATCTCCCAGGGAATATTTTTCATTCATATTTCAACACTCACGTGGAATACACCCATAAATAATACTTCAGTTTTATTCAATGTTAGAATCTTAGACATCGCGGGTACATGGGGCGATTACATGGGTAATATTGCTATTACACACCACACTATTATCATTACCACTACGGTTTAAAAAAATGTAATATATTGCAATCATGATTACATGACATCCATCTCTTCCTCATTGGCCACAACACACATCACTCTATTTGATTTCCCACACCCTCCCCATACCTATCAGTCATGGTGACCCCAGTGTTACTTGCCACTCAGCTTGGCGGCCCAGCCGTTACCAACACCTCTTCCCTCCCTGACCAGATATCCCTCCTCCTAGTGACAGGCCTGGCACTAGGGACCTGCCACGTTTTGCCATAAACAGATGAATTGTATCGGAAATTTCTCCCCCCCCCACACACACACTCATCATTCTGTCACTTTATGTAACTTGCTGACAAAACCCATGACCCTTCAGGCTTTTACGTCCTTAATGCACGAGTCATAAAGGCAAGCATGAACTCCGCATGCTTCTCCGATGGGCGCTGTAAACGCTTCTGCGCTTCACCTTGTACAGGATGTAAGGGGGTGGCCAATAAACTAGCCCCCTCGTAGGCAATCTAAAAAAAAAAATCTAATCTTAGAAATGTTGACACTGACTGATTGTGACTTAAGAGGCTTAATATAGTAACTGAAATAGATTACATTCACCTGCCATACTGATAAGTCACTAATCCTGATAAACAGAAAAGTGGCCATCTAGGTATTAAACCAGTAGCCAGGAATGTGTGGCATTTTCATATTAAATATAATAGGAATAGACCAATATAATTAACGAAAGCAATTGTATTTACTATTACATTTCAAGTGTAATCGACTAAGATTACAAGGCAAAATAGAATAATAATTACCCCACGTCTGCAAATAACCGGCATCACGTAATTACATTAACTGACCCAATCGAAATACATAAACACATTCATCTCCGTTTATATATTAACAGTTAACAACAATGACAGATACGAACAATGCGAGTCAAAAGATGATGAAAAGAACAAGTGAATAATATGAATGTTATTGTAGTCTGAAGGATATATTAAGTCAAACAACCGAGAGTAGAAACAAACAAGATGGAGAATAAGCAATGGAATAATAAAGCCAATTGTTCTTTACGGATGGGAGTCAACTTTGAGAGATGATGGAAAAATAATCTAATAATTTAATAACTGTGTGACGAAGGTGTTTATAGGACGCAGAAAAATGGATAAAGGTCACCGCTTTGTAATCTATCGTAAATATTCTATAGTTAGAATACAGGCTGACCCTGTCGCCAAGAGGGAATATCTCACACTTCATAAAAGTACTATGACTGGGAAAGCAAAGTACCGTCATCCCGTCTGGTCCCCGAAATACTAGGGACTGTCAGTTGATTGAGAATGTTCAAAGGAGGGCCACCAGACTGGTGCCTGCACTTCGGCACCTCAGCTACCCAGAGAGATTAGAGCGCCTGTAATTGCCTAGCTTATACTACAGACGGGCAAGGGAGGATCTAATTGAGGTGTATAAACATCTCAAAGGGCACTACTCAGTCGAGTGTCCTTACCTGGAGCTGGCGGACGCTCGCCCCACAAGGGGTCATAGCTCAAGGTTGAAGAAGCCACAAATCCAAAAGAAAACTGTGAGGGCAAACTTTTTCGGAGTGAGAATTATGAGCTCTTGGAACAACCGGCCAGAGAGTGTTGTGACGGCACCAAGTGTGAACTGTTTCAAGACCAGACTTGACAAGCACTGGAGCAGGTTCCGATACACCCAAGAGCCAGTGCATGCCCAGTACTTGCCAACAGTGCGTAACAGGTCAGAAATAACATGATCTGTGCTATTACCAAGCGTGTAAAATGAACATCTTTATTGTCCAA